TCTCTCTGTTTGACGTCCAAACTCTTAACACATTCAGGCCAATGGACCCTCTTAGTCCAGCATCCTGATTTCAGGGTGGCCAGCCCAAGGCCCTCGTGGGAAGCCCCAAAACAGAATTTGAGCACCAGAGCCCTCTCCCTTCTGTGATCCTTGTTGGGATGCGTCCGGGGAGATGGGGGCAATTGGCAGGCCCCCAGCTGGCTCCAGCCACCGGCCGGCAGCTGGGCGAACTCTGGTTCTCAGAACAGCATCTATCAGCGACTTGAGCCTCAGAAGCCTTCAGAGACTGAGCACGCTCTAATCAGCAGGGTGAATAACTTTTCACAGTGGAGGTGGCAGACAGAGGTATATGTAAGCATATTTACAGGCGTTTATTCAGCATCAGAGGGACGCGGATGGTGCTGTGGGTTAAACCACAGAGCCTAGGACTTGCTGATCAGAAGGCTGGTGTTTCGAATCCCCGTGACGGGGTGAGCTGAGCTCCCGTTGCTCGGTCCCTGCTCCTGCCCACCTAGCAGTTTGAAAGCATGTCAAAGTGCAAGTAGATAAATAGGTACCGCTCCGGCGGGAAGGTGAACGGCGTTTCCACGCGCTGCTCTGGTTCACCAGAAGCAGCTTGGTCATGCTGGCCACATGACCCAGAAGCTGTACCCAATAAAGCGAGATGAGCGCCACAACCCCCGAGTCGGCCACGACTGGACCTAATGGTCAGGGGTCCCTTTACCTTTACTGAATCTATTCTGCCTTGGTCACACCACGCCTGGAATACCACATCCAATTCTGGGCAGCACAATTTAAGAAGGATGTTGACAAGCTTTACCTTTACCTTTAGTCAGCATCAGGAACAAAGTAAAAACATGTCTGCTTCCCTTCGTGTCCAAGCAAACAGCAGTATAGCAAAAGCTATATACAACGGACGTTCCCAGCAGACTGTCATGGAAGTAAACAGACATGTGACATACAACAACTCCACATGCCTGTTCTAAAGGTGGAACGGAACTATATCCTAACAATCCCCAGCAATTCAAGCATTGCTGCCTCTAGCTTTGGAGGCAAAACATAGCCCTCTCGTCCATGCATTGGCCGTTGTCCTGGCTGAAAAGTAAGCCTGCCAAGTAGAAGCAGCCAGAGGGTAAATCAAACCCTTCATCTTTTTTACATAGCGTGGGAACCATTTGTTTCATTTATGTACCACAAAGACCAAATGAGAAAGCCACCTCAAACTCATGGAAACATATGGAGTGATCTACTAGAGTAAGGATTCAGTTTGCCACTCTCCTCTTTCGCAAGCCTATGCAGATACCAGGTTGTCTGTTATACAGTGGTACCTCGGGTTACAGATTCTTCAGGTTATAGACTCCGCTAACCCAGAAATAGTACCTCGGGTTAAGAACTTTGCTTCAGGATGAGAACAGAAATCGTGCTCCGGCGGCGCAGCAGCAGCAAGAGGCCCCATTAGCTAAAGTGGTTGTTGTTGTTGTTTAGTCATTTAGTCATGTCCGACTCTTCATGCCCCCTGGACCTGAGCATGCCAGGCCCTCCTGTCTTCCACTGCCTCCCGCAGTTTGGTCAAACTCATGCTGGTAGCTTCGAGAACACTATCCAACCAACTCGTCCTCTGTCGTCCCCTTCTCCTTGTGCCCTCCATCTTTCCCAACATCAGGGTCTTTTCCAGGGAGTCTTCTCTTCTCATGAGGTGGCCAAAGTCTTGGAGCCTCAGCTTCAGGATCTGTCCTTCCAGTGAGCACTCAGGGCTGATTTCCTTCAGAATGGAGAGGTTTGATCTTCTTGCAGTCCATGGGACTCTCAAGAGTCTCCTCCAGCACCAGAATTCAAAAGCATCCATTCTTTGGCGATCAGCCTTCTTTATGGTCCAGCTCTCACTTCCATACATCACTACTGGGGAAACCATAGCTTTAACAGCTAAAGTGGTACCTCAGGTTAAGAACAGTTTCAGGTCAAGAACGGACCTCCTTAACGAATTAAGTTCTTAACCCAAGGTACCACTGTAATCCTCTTAACAGAATGAACAATCGGCCGTTTTTGCCTTGGTGCCATGGTTTATCTCTGTTTTTGTTGTTGCATGTGCTGGTTTTGAGATGTGATTTATTTCTTTTTAATTGCCTTTTAAACCACCTAGATTGGTGGCCATCACTGTCTCCTGTGGGAGGGAGTTCCATAGTTTAATTAATGCTCTGAATCTCCTAACATTCAGGACACACACATCCACTCACTGAGCAGATCTGCAAATGTTATGACGTGTGGTTTGTGGAAAGCCATCTTTGGTGAACCTCGGAGAAGCCTGGTCCAACTCCCAGCATGCCTGTAGGTCCGCTTGGGGGCTGTGAGCCGGTTCTGTTTCTCTTCCTCATCTGCGAAAGCAGAATGAGCTTGACTGTTTCACGGGGCGGATGGGAAAAAGCACAAAACGAGGTTTTAGTACAGCTTTGTTCCTGTGTTTGCAGGCACACATGTCTCATCAGCTTTGTTTTATTTCTTTGGCAAGATGCAGCTTGGGTTACAGCAATTTGTTCTCCAAATGGGTCGCATTTAAGAGAAAAATAAAATGCCCATAAAATCATACAAATCCCAATAAAAACCTCCTAAGCGGGGCGTATTGAAATAGAGAGTCAACAATAAAATCATATCTGACCTTCAAAGTTCCGGCGATACGATAGCCATCCTCAGATATCTGAAGGGCCGTCACATGGGAGAGGGAGCAAGCTTGTTTTCTCCTGCTCTGGAGGGTAGGACTCGAACCCGTGGCTTCAAGCTACAAGAAAGGAGATTCCAATTAAACATCAGGAAAAAACTTTACGAGGGTAAGAGGCCTTTGACAATGGAATGGACTCTCGCAGAAGGTGATGGACTCTCCTTCCTTGGAGGTTTTTAAGCAGAGGTTGCATGGCCAAATGTCATGGATGCTTTAGCTGTGATTCCTGCATTGCAGGGGGTTGGACTTGATGACCCTCGGGGTCCCTTCCATCTCTTAAGATTCTATGATTCCATATAGTGGCAGTGGGAGGGGCAAAAAGTGCCTTTATTTTGTACTGCCATCATGTCAGGCATTGTGTGGAAGAGCGACGGATTGGGTAGCTCTTTTGAAAAATGTATAAAGCACCAGCGAGGCCGGCGTTCACTTGCAGCAGAAACATCATCTTCTTTTTTTTTGCAACACTTCCCCGTTTTAATTTCCCAGCTGAAGAGCTCCATTCCCCAACCGACCCGCATCTCCCACAATGGGTTTTCAGAAAGAGTTTTCTGTTGCCCCAGGAGCAAAACTACCCCACACGGCAGCATTGAGCTGAGCTGAAAAGGCTCTTTAGAGAGAGGTTTGGCAATGATCTGATAGAGCTGGTTTTCAATAGAGGATGTTTCCTTCCTCAGGCTCAGCACAGCTAAGCCCTCTAGATCAGTGTTTCCCAACTTGCGGGTCCCCAGATGTTGTTGGACTACAACTACCATCATTCCTAGCCAGCATGACCAGTGGTCAGGGATGATGGGAGTTGTAGTCCAACAACATCTGGGGACCCACAGGTTGAGAACCGCTGCTCTAGGTCCCTTCCCAGCACAATACCTGGCAAGCTGGATCCCCCACAATGGCCCAACCAGTCCGGGTTCTTCTTTCCCACAGGGCCAAGCAGATCCCTCCAGGGAGCCCAAACGCAAGGCATGTGGGAAGCAGCCTCACCTCCAAAAAGGATATTGCAGATTGGAATTTTAAAAATAAGTCAAATATCTAGGTATTTAGCTAACGACGAAGTGTATTAACTTACATCAAGACAACTACGTGAGGACCTAGAACAAGATAAAGATGAATTAAGAAATATGGAGTAGACTACATCTATCCTTTTGGGGAAGAATTTCCACGGTAAAAATGAATGTTTTGCCAAGAATTGTTTTTTTGTGTTCCAGACCATTCTGGTATTATGAACTACTTTAAAGGTCGGCAAAGAGATTTATCACGGTTTAGTTGGAACGGGAAGAGACCTAGAATAAAACATAAATTGTTAATTGATTGCAAAGAGAGGAGAGGTTTCGCACTACCGGACCTCCAACTATATTATGATGCAACCTGTTTATCCTGGATCCGTGACTGGGTAATGTTACAAAATATGGATTTACTAGATATAGAGGGGTTTGACAATAAGTATAGTTGGCATGCCATTTTTGCATATGACAAGGTGAGAGTACAGAGAGGTTTTTTAAGCCATATGATAAGAAAATCTCTATATAAAGTATGGATGCGAGAGAGGCAACATGAGCAGAACATGGGAGCTGTGATATCCAACAAGTGGGATTCAGAAGCATGGTGACTCTGATAGTGGAGGGAAAGCATAGCCCTAGTGGACGCTGAGAGCTCTCGCCTCCTCCTATGAATTTGTCTAATCAAGGCAAAAATGACAGGAAGAATCAGAAATCAGGAAGAGCAAAATGTCAATAAGGAATGGGGAAATTTTATAATTCGTCTTAAAAATCAGTATAAACAGTTAAGATCGTTAATAGGATTGGAATAACACTTGTAGTTTAATTTGGATTATTATAAAAGATGCAGGAGGAAATGACGAACAATAGGACCCACAAAGGGGACGATGGAAGTCCAGGAGATTCCTTAGAATCTTGTTTTTATGATGTATGTTGGACATGTGATTGTAAAACTTTAATTTGAAAAACCAAATAAATTTATTTTAAAAGGGGGCGGGGCGATTTGTCTAATCCAAGTTAGTGCTCATCACTTCCTCTTGTGGAAATGAGTTCCACAGTTTAACTCTGCGCTGAAGGTGCAAGTCTTTCCTTTTACCTGTCCTGAACGTTCAGCTTCTCAGGATGTCCACAAGGTCTAATGTTATGAGGAAGAAAAAGAAGGACTTTCTTTCTTGTCCTGAATCTTCCAACATTCAGCATCACAGGGTGTCAACGAGTTCTAATGCTATAGAATCATACAGTTGGAAGGTACCCAACGGTCATCTAGTCCAACCCCCTGAAATTCAGGAACCTTTTGCCCAATATGGGGCTCAAACTCACAGCCTTGAGATTAAGAGTCTTGTGCTCTACCAACCGAGCTATCCCAGGCCTGCTTAAAACTTCGTTGGTTTTCTCTGTGCCATGCATAATTTTTATAAAATTCTGTTGTGTCTCCTCTTCCTCGCCTTGCCTCTAAAATCCCAAATGCGGCAACATTTCTTCGTTAGGGAGTTGTTGCATCCCAGTGATCATTTGGGCTCCTCTTTTCTGGACCGTTTTTCAAATCTGCAGTATCCTTTTTGAGGCAAGGCAACCACAGCTTTGTGGCAGAGGCAGGATTCGAACCCGGAGTCTCTCGGGCCCTAGCTTGGGACGCTTAACCAGTGCTGCCCCCGGCTCCTCCTGCCTCTCCCAGCCTTGCATTTAAGGAGCCGGCCTGATCCACAGAGCCGTTCCTGGAGGGGTCCCCTTGCACACGGCCGCTCCCCGAAATGGACGGATTAGGTAATCCTGGGGTCGGTTTCACGGCCATTTCCTACTGGAAACCAGACCCCTCCGAGCGCCGTCCTTCACTCGCAGCCGAGGAATAATTGGACGCCGGGGTCCCGTCAACACGTCCGAAAGCCCAGCCCCTCCGGGGACGGCGTCCCGAGGAACCGGGAGGTGTTTGTGAAGAAAGGCAAAGGGGAGAGGCGGCTCTGGTCCGCTTGACGTTCCTGTGGTTTACGGCTTCCCTTGGCTGGGAAGGGGAAAGGGGCTCTGGAGGACGGGGGCGCGAGACAGCTGCCTCCGTCCCAAGCCTGGACGTCCTGCACAGCGTCAGAGGCAGGCAGGCTCTGTCCCAACCTTCCTGCAACGGGACGGAGGAGAGGGAAGGGAAGAAGGAGGCAGAGTGGAGAAAGGGGGCGATTGCTGGGTTGGAAGGAGAGGGGGGTCAAGCCGGTCCAACATGCACCCCTTCAGCCACAGGGATCGCAGAAGAGGCCTCCTGGGCGCCAGGCTAAAGGCCAAGCAGATGCCCACAAGCTGGTCTTCAAACTGGCACAGAGTGACAGTGTCGCGTAGTGGTTAGAGAGCCAGACTAGGACACGGGAGAGCAGGGTTCGAATTCCCAACTTGGGCATCAAGCTCACTGGGTGATACCTTGGGCCAGTTGCTCTGCTTCTCAGCCTTGCCTGCCTCGCAGGTTTGTTGCGAGGATAAAATACGAGGAGGGGAACAGTGTACACCAGGGGTCAGCAGACTTTTTCAGCAGGGGGCCGGTCCACCGTCCCTCAGACCTTGTGGGGGGGCCATACTATATTTTTTGGGGGGAGGAAATGAACGAAATTCCTATGCCCCACAAATAACCCAGAGATGCATTTTATATAAAAGGACACATTCTGCTCATGTAAAAACACGCTGATTCCCGGACCGTCCGCGGGCCAGATTTAGAAGGTGATTGGGCCAGATCTGGCCCCCGGGCCTTAGTTTGCCTACCCCTGGTGTACGCCGTCTCCAAAGGGGAGAAAGGTTGGGTGTCATGAAACAAAACAATAACCACGGCTAGATCCTGTGTCTTGGTGGTGGCAGCCCTGATCCTCTCTGAGTTGGCCTGATCCCCCTTTAAAGGCATCCAACTCGGTGGCTGTCCCTGCCTCCTGAAAGGCCCTGAGCTGGATGCAGATCCTGGAGAGGAGACAGGATCTCACCCCCAGCCCCCGCTCCCCAGGTCCTTCCAAGGAAGCCTGGATTTTGCGAGCAACACCCTCCCCTTTCCCAGCCTCAGAGGGAGACGTCTCCTCGTCCCCTTTAGCAATTCATCTGGAAGAGGCATGGGCATGTTGCGTGAAAGTTAATGCAACATTTGCGGGGGATCTCCTTGACAGGAAGGGACAATTGGGCGGCCAGATAAATATGCTCTTGTCACAAGAGATAAGATGCTCCAGAGCCGCCCCCACACGCCGGGCTGGCAGCAGAACGGCGGCGCCAATTAGGAGGGGAGTTTCGTAAGAGTTCTCCGCGCCGAGAACAACTGTGTGTGTGTGTGCAAAGGGAGCCGGGGGTGGGCAGGCCAACCAGGGGGGTCTCGGAGAGTGTGAAAGATGCCATTGAGTTAAGGATCAGACTGTTGCCACGGTGCTGCTTCCCTACCAACCGCTGCTGAATTGCTTGCCAAGGATATCGACAGAGCCCAAGCCTGCTGGGATGTTTGCGCCCCCACCCCAACCTAAGCCAGGAAGACTAATAATAATAATAATAATAATAATAATAATAATAATAATTTATTATTTATACCCCGCCCATCTGACTGGGCTTCCCCAGCCACTCTGGGCAGCTTTCAAAAAAAATATATTAAACTACTGTAATACATCAAACATTAAAAGCTTCCCTAAACAGGGCTGCCTTCAGATGTCTTCTAAAAGTCTGGTAGTTGTTGTTCTCTTTGACATCTGGTGGGAGGGCATTGCACAGGGAGGGCGCCACTACCGAGAAAGCCCTGTGCCTGGTTCCCTGTAACTTGGCTTCTCGCAGGGAGGGAATCGCCAGAAGGCCCTTGGCACTGGACCTCAGTGTCCGGGCAGAACGATGGGGGTGGAGACGCTCCTTCAGATATACTGGACCGAGGCCATTTAGGGCTTTCAAGGTCAGCAGCAACACTTTGAATTGTGCTCGGAAACGTACTGGGAGCCAGTGTAGGTCTTTCAGGACCGGTGTTATATGGTCTCAGCGGCGGCTCCCAGTCACCAGTCTAGCTGCCGCATTCTGGATTAGTTGCAGTTTCCGGGTCACCTTCAAAGGTAGCCCCACGGAGAGTGCATTGCAGGAGTCCAAGCGAGAGATAACCAGAGCATGCACCACTCTGGCAAGACAGTCTGCAGGCAGGGAGGGTCTCATCCTGCGTACCAGGTAGAGCTGGTAGAGAACTGCCCTGGATATAGCTGCCCTGGACTTTTTTCCTAATCTCAGCTGTAGGAGGGAGCTGTGGTTACGCGGTAAGGAAGGCAAGGCACTCTGCACATGCTTAGCAGTGCTCTCTCCTCCTCAGTGTTTCAGACATTCTGAGACTGGCACGGGAAACAACAACAACTTATTATTTATACCCCACCCATCTGGCTGGGTTTCCCCAGTCACTCTGGGCGGCTCCCAACAGAATATTAAAAACATGATAAAACATCAAATATTAAAAACTTCCCTAAACAGGGTTGCCTTCAGGTGGCTTCTAAAAGTCAGATCAATGGGAGCTCACCCCGTCGCGGGGACTCGAACCACCGACCTTCTGATCGGCAAGTCCTAGGCTCTGTGGTTTAACCCACAGCACCACCCGCGTCCCACTCATGACCTGGTAATTATTCCTAATTCTCTTTTATTGGATTCTTAATATGTACAGCCCTTCCAAAGAGCTCGATACACCATACAGACCCCCCCACACATAATTTTATCTTACAATGAACCCTGCAAGGTTGGGTTGACAGATAATGGTGGTCTTATGAAGAAGTGTGTATGGACATTAACCTAGCCAGGCTAAAGATCATTCAGGACTTATGTGTGTACTCTTTTTGGTATTTTAATCTTGCCCATGTCCTGAGAAGACTCACGAGTGGTTGCTGAAACAGACTGCTACTCACACTGCAGTGGTCTTAATAGCAGTAGAATCATAGACTCACAGAATCCTGGAGTTGGAAGGGACCACGAGGGTCATCTAGTCCAACCCCCTGCCGTGCAGGAATTTTTTGCCCAACATGGGGCTCAAACCAACAAACCTGAGATTAAGACTCTCACACTCTGCCGCCTAAGCTATCCAAATCCTTTAACAACTGGGAACCAGTTGACCTGTGAGGTTTCCTTGCCCCTCATTTGCCCACCAGTTTGTTTCGATCGCCACAACTGGACCTGTTACAGGTGGCATATAATATTCCTTCTGCATCTGCAAGAACTCGATCATTTTGCACCTCTGGAACTCCCTGCTGATTGAGATCAGGCAGGCGCCGTCGCCGAACTCTTTCCAGCCCCTCTGGAAACACTTTTGTTTAGACAAGCTCACCTAGACGTTTAGAATGCCAATGCAAGTTTTAATATTTTTTAGTCTACAGCTATTTTAACTTTTCCAAAGTCTTAAAATAAGGTTGCTAATTTTGTTGTTTAATCCTTTTTGTAAACCACGTCGAGGTTCTGTCCGTTAACTCTCAAGTGGTACGGCAGGAATTTCAGCTAAAGCATCCCTGACAGGTGGCCGTCCAAACACTGCTTAAAAATCCCTAGTGAAGGAGAGTCCCCCGACTTCCGAGGAAGTCCATAAGAACATAAGAGGAGCCTGCCGGATTAGGCCAGTGGCCCATCTAGTCTGGCCTTCTGTTCTCAGATTGCCCAACCAGATGCCTTAATGGGAAGCCTGCAAACAGGATCCGACCACCAGCACTCTCTTCTGCAATTTCCAGCAACTAGGATCCAGAGGCATCGCTGCCTCTGACTGTGGAGGCAGAGAACAGTGATCCTGGCTCTGTGAATTTCTCTAATCCTTTTTTTGAGCCATCCAAGTGTGCGGCCATCCCAGCCTCTTCCGTGAACAAGTTCCATCGTTTAACTGTGTCCAGTGTGAAGATGGACTTTCTTTTATCTGTGCTGAATCTTCCAACTGTGCACAATTTCTCATTCTTGTTTTATCTGTAAGCCCCTTTGAGCCCCAGGCAGGGGGGAAAGTGGGGTATTATGAATAATAGTAATAATAGAGGGCCTTCTCGGTAGTGGCACCCGCCCTGCGGAACACCCTCTCACCAGATGTCAAAGACAACAACTACCAGACTTTTAGAAGACATCTGAAGGCAGCCCTGTTTAGGGAGGCTTTTAATGTTTAATAGATTATTGTATTTTAATATTCTGTTGGAAGCCACTCAGAGTGGCTGGGGAAACCCTGCCAGATGGGCAGGGTATAAATAATATATTATGATGATGGTGATTATGATGCCATGACTTCTTTTTCTTCTTTGGCGATCCCTCCTAGCCGAGTCAGATTGTCTTCCATAAACAAGGTTTTAACAGTGAGTGCATAAGTGACTGTGGAGGCCAATTCTGGATCCACACGTCCTTCCACAGTGGGGACATTGGTTTCTGGGCGGGAGTTGATCACGG